TACTTAGAAATTGGGAGTCATATCTTTGCAAAATAAAAGAACATAAAGTTTGACTTAAAATCATTCCCATAGCTCCCTCTCCAGGCTAAATTGACGATGATCACTGTCTTCCAAATCTGAAGTCTCCTCTGAGACACAGAATAAACTCTTAGCTATAGCCCCTGAAAAAATAACAAAAGAAAGTTAAATATTCCTGACATACAATGGCAAAGGACAAACATTTCCAATCCAAATGGGAGAAATAGGGGAATATAAGGGAATGGGAGCAAAGCAAGACTGAAACCCAGCAAGACAAACAGTAAATTTTATAACCCCCTATTAGTGCCTGAGGCAGGTCGTGGAAATGTGAGCTCCAAAATATGGGCAGCTCTGTCCCTACAGCATTACCGATTGCATTTCATATTGCTTCTCCCTTGGGGAAGCTCCTCTCACTACCTGCAACTTTCAACTTTCTTGGTTTCTTGAACTTCCTGGAGTCTTCAAGTGCATTTTTGGCTTCACTCTTTCAGCTTCACATATTGCCTCCCAGACCTTCTGAAATACAGGTAGAAGTCTCTCTGACTCAACTCCTCATGCATGCCTGTAAGACCAGCACCAGGTAGATAATGCCAATGTCTGCCACCAGCTTAAGCAGTAGCCAGGACTCTTTAAATGGTGGTTGCAGAGGTCTTTGAGTGTCTGGATACCTGAGCACTATGAAGTGAATCCTGGGAACAAATTCCATAGGCAACCCTTCTTTCAGTAGGGTACCCTAAGACAGCTTGTTAAAGCAAAGTCTTTCAATTTTACAATTTTGAGCCTGCAAAGGGGGGAGCCTTGCTGGTTCTTGTGATGTTCACAAGCCATATTTCCTATAGTCTTGGAAATATTTGGCTTATTTTTAATGTTAATCTTTTCAGAAACCAAACTCTCCCCTAGCTCCAACTTTTCAGGTCCCAACTTTACCTTTCTAGCCTAATGTAAACTTTAGCACATCATTCAGCTCTGTCGTCTACTCTTGATTTTCAGCATAAACCTGGCCCAACAATACTCATGGCACAGCTTGAGTGCTGGACTGCTTTGAAATTCTGTCGGCCAGATTAATTAGTCCACTACCCTTAGTTTTCCACAAAGTCTCAGGACACAAGCAAAATATAGAAAACTTTTTTGCAGAGCATAACATATATGGCCTGGAATCCAACTGATGCTAGTGTCCTTTTTTCCAACTGACACCTCCTGAGGCTGGTTTTACCATCTATATTTCTAATGACATGCTGGTCTTCTGAGTTCCTTCCAGAATCTTCCATCAAGCTCAGCTGATAGTATTTTAGAGCTTCTCCAGCTGGCATCACAAAACCTTTCCAAACTCTTCCCATGAACTAGTTCAAAAGCTTTGAACCACATGGTTAGGTAACAGTCACAGCAAGACCCCTCTTCTGTGATACTCAAATCTACTTTAGTCATTTTCTTGATGCCTGGACAAAATACTCAACACAAGCAACTTCTAGGAGAGCAGGTTTATTTAAGCTTATGTTTTGTAAGTTTTAGACCTCGCATGGTTGGCAGTATGGTGGAAGGGCAAAGGAAAGCTGCTCATTTCATGGTGGCCATGAAGCAGGGAAAGTGAAGGTAAGAGCCAGGAAGGGTTATATACCGTCACACCCCCAGGGACATGCCTCATCCACTCAGATCCACCAGCTCGCAGTAAATCAGCAATAACATCCTTGTAATCCAAATTATCTTGCAAAAGCCCCGCTTCTGAGTGAATGAGGCTTTTGGGGGACATCTGTATATAAAACGTAATCAATCAGTGGAATGTGCGCTTCCCTGGCAAGCACAAAGACCTGAGTTCAATCCCTGGTTTCAAAAAAAAAAAAAAAAAAAAAAAAGTAATCAAGAAAAATCTTCATTTCCCTGCGGTTCAGTTCTCTCAAAGCTCTGTGCTTCACCACTGAGACCAGAACTCCTCTATGCCTTCACTTGTGAAGGCTGGTGAAAAAGTGCAAAGTTATGGCAAGTCCTTTTATTCTCCGCAGAAGAGACAGTGAACTAGTTTATGGCTGTCTACTCTTAAGTAGATGAATCCCCTCTAGCTCCAAATTCTACAAGCATATTTTATATATTAAAGTACATTATTAAATTTTGGAATAGGTAGGTGGAAAAAAAACAGAACAGGAGGTAGCAATATGAACAATTTCCTGAATAACTTAGGACATACAAAAAACTGCACCCAAATTACTTACATAAGTCCTTTGTTCCTAAGTCTGTCCTCCTATCAATCAATAGTGTTAGGTCTAAAACCTTTAGCAGTCCATATTTCTTTTCAGCTAACCTCTATACACTCAAAGCCATCCTACCCCAAATGAAAAGTTTTAACTATCCTTCCTTCTGTTTTTTTCTTATCACTTCACACCACCCTGGCCCTCTTTTCCTTATATTTCTTTAGTGCCCCATGCTTTTACTTGTAACTTTGCTTGTATTTCTTCAACCACTCCTACAATGCTTTCTCTCATTTTGTCAGTTATCAACTGATTGTCTCTCTGCATCAAAGTTTTCTCTCACTGCCTTCATTGTTTCAGAACATGATTCTGGTCCTCTAATACATTTTTCTTTTGTCAACAGACACATTACGAAAATCTGTTACTATAGTGGGTTGAATAGAGGTTACTGCAGGAAGAGCTTTCCCTGAAAGTTTCTGGAAAGCCTGCACTCTTTTCCCTCTCTGCTGCTCAGGTAGTGAAATTTCCCTAGTCCAGCAGCTTATAAGCAGAAGTGACTTTTTTGGGTATACCAGTAATACCTGGAGCTAACTTTCATTATTACAACTTACGGAATTACAAATATAAAGTGATTAGAGATCAAGGATGCTGCTATACATCCTACAGTACACTGAATACTCCCCCACAACAAATAAGTATCTAACCCTAAATATCAATAATAAATGGCAGTGAAAAACTGTTCTAATGCTAGGTTCCTCTAAGGCACAGCCATCTGTGTACTTTCTTTCTTCAGCTTTCTACTCAAGCAGCAGAGCACTACAAACCTGAAGCCTCAGATGAAGTGTTTTCTCCCCATTATCTGTCTTCAGCTCCTGTGTGTATTGCAGAAGCCCTGCTAGCCAGGCACCTGACCTTTGTCCCACACAGTGGCCTGGAACTGCCCTACTCTAAAACATACACAATAATGTTGTAGGCTACATATATAGGGAGGCTCCTCTCTCACTTGCAATTCCAGCAGTAATTCCCTTCATAATCAACCACCAGCTTCAACTCACCAGCATCTTAAGGCTTTACCAACACAGACACCAGACCCAGGACCTGCAGCAGAAACCCAGGTCCCTCTGCACAATTTCACAACAGTGTTGGCTTACCTGTGGTTACAGAAATTGTGTACCAGCATAAAGTAAGGCAACTCAGCACATATCTCTGCCATGTATGGGGCTGCAATCACACCTTCACAGAAGCTGAGCTTTCAATTTTATCCTTCAATGGGTACTTTGCCTCAGTCCTAGGGTTCCTTTTAGAGTTCTCTTTATACAATAACTTTATTGCTTTTGTCTTATTATAGATTAACTATTGTTTATATTTAACTGACCATTTACTGTGTGGCTTTCTGTCCTCTGATTTGATCCAGAGTGATATACTTGCTTCATATAGCCTTCCTTGAGCATATCAGGTAAAGACAGAGCATGAAGACTGGTGCTCAAGTTGGTTATTCATTTGCTTTCTAACATTTCTAAGGTATCAGTTCTCTGGTCTTATTTTCTGTTGCCTCTGTATTCTCTGTTTATTATTTTTATTGTCATGTTCTGGAATTTAAGGAGGAAGATAAAATGTATTCTAACCTCCATGTTTCACCCTACGTCCTGATTCTTCTTAAATAAGAATATTAAAATTCTCACTTAAAAAGTAGGAACCACTTTTGACTCAAAAATATACTGACTACATAAAAATATCACCACTCGATGGGTTTTTATAGTTCACTAATAAATGTCACTAAAGGCTTTAGTCTCCAAAACTCATGCAGACTTTGGATATTTATAATATGTTAGCAACAGTATGAGATGGAATTGTATATACACTATTTTTTTTTTTTTTTTTTTCCAGAACCAGGGACTGAACTCAGGCCCTTGTGCTTGCCAGTGAAGCGCTTATTCCACTGAGCCATCTCCCTGGCCCCTGTATATACACTATTGACTTAGAATGTTTACTTCAAAGAGACTGGCCATGTTGAACACTTTCAACAGAGGGGAATTAAAAATTATTAAATACATTCAACTAATAAATAAGTTCAACTGAATGACATCCTGAGAACTTTGTCATGACAAGCAGCCCGAATTCAGAAGATCAGAATGAGAACTTTGATTAGCCATAGAAATGAATGCAAAATCAAGTAGATAGAGAACACAAGCATAATCTATAAAAATTGAAAAAAGTAAACACAATTCTAAAATACTTCAAATAAAATACAACTGAGATACAAGCAGTTAACATAAATGACTTTCATGGGCCGGCGAGATAGCTCAGCAGACACCTGCTTAGGCAAGTGCAGGGACTGAGATTTGATCCCCCACACCACATACCACACTGGCCCTGCCTCTGGGTGCAATGAGCCGGCCAATGAGACCAGGTATAATGGTGCATATCGGTAATCCCAGCACTGGGGAGGCTGAAAACAGGAAGATCACTATGAATCTGAGCTACGTAGTGAGACTTCATACCAGATACACACACACACACACACACACACACACACACACACACACGAGATAGATTTCTGCCTAAGTTCAAACTGCTGGGGCTGAGGAGATAGCTCAGTAGAATAAGTGCTTGCCTGGCAATCGCAAGGGCTTGAGTTCCATCCCCGGTTCTACCAAAAAACAAAACAAAATAAAACCCAAAAAATCCCAACAAAACTGCTAAATTATAATGACCCTGATTCAACATGGCTGAATTCCAAAAACAACAGCTTATTTTCCCAAAGACCATCTCCTCCTTCAACCTATCCTCAATCCCAGATACAATTTCCTTTCACCTTTCTCATGCTACAAGGAAGACCCCAAATCAGTTCCTTAGGTGTAACTAAACTTGCCTCTCAAACTCTGTTCCTAGCAAAAATCCATATGATCTCAACATCCTTTTGTCTCAAGTGAGAGGATCTCTCATCTCTCTGCAATCAATCCTTTCCATGTCCTCCTCAATGGCAATAAAGGCCTCCCTCTCTTCCTTTCCTTTTACTTTTGCTTCTCTGCTGCGCTGAAAAACCTAATATTTTTGTGCTGTGACTCAGATCGGTGAGCTGTGTAGTTCTGGGGATAGAGGACTGGTTTGAGCTTCCTCACCAATGAGCTATTTTCTACTTCCTCTGCTCTGCTGCCTGTTGCTGGCATGCACCCAACATTGATCCACCTCATTTCTCACAAGTGAGCCATTTCTCAGTTCTCAAGTTTTCTGTCTCAATTTTTCCTGACTCAGAGGCAGTACAGAAACTGTGGATCCACGTCAGGAAATCCAATGGCCATCCCTTGGATAGAAAAAGCTGTCCTCACATTCCTTGGGCAGGGATATTGCTCTCATATCCTAAGACAGAGCAGTTACTTTCTTATCTTTGGGGACCCCTCCCTGTTTTCTAGTGATGACTGAACAAAACAGGTGTGGGATCTCTCATACTTCATAATCTTGGGAGTAGATGATGATCTCTCCACACAATGTGAAGCTTTGGCTCACCTCAAACTCAGTCATGATGGGAAATGTTCATTTCTAATCTCAAAAGACACAGTGATCAGTGTCTTGTTCTTAATTTTGTTTATTTTTATTTTTTCCCATAATTTTATTGATAAACAAATAGCAATGAGACAGTTTCAAATCAAATTGGTAGGACAGTTTCAATAATTAACACACTGCATATATTCTTCCTAGT